GGAGCAGGATTTGACACCTGCTCTAGACACAGGCCGGCCACGGTTTGTTGCTCACATTTCTTTAGCATCCTGTGGGAGGTTTATTCGCTTTGCATACATTATTTCCTTGGATCCTCACAGCAACTCTGTGGGGTGCCATAGGTATTAATGATCTGTCTTACAGATGAGGAAACCGAGGCCCCGGGGGGGGGGGGGTCAGGCACGTGGTTACCCGGGCCATCACTGCAGAAGGTGGGCTGGGAAGCTGGTCTGACTCCAGGTGCCACTCTCCCCTGCCAAGAGCAGCAGGGCATCCCCATTAACAAATGAGGTGGGATGTGCTGGAGGGTGGGTGTGGGGGGGAAGGGGGCTTTACCCCAGCTCCCAGATGTTCAGCCTTGTAAAACTCCTAAATTCTGTCAGGGACAGCGAATTCCTTGTTTGTCTTTATAATTCCCACAGGCTCTTGCATAATGTAGAGCCTTAGCCAATACTTGGGATGAGAAATGAGAAGGGGGTGGTGGTGGGAGCTGGCAGGAAATCTGTCCACCTGTTGTATAACCAGGAGAAAGAAGTTCCAAAAACCTAAATGGGGAATCCTATCTTTAGGCCCCACTCTTAAGCTTATAGTTTGGTTAAGTGAACAGAGCAGGCCATGAGATCTGGATGGGAGGCAGGGATTTAGTGGAAGGAGAGCTGAATTTGGAGTCCCAAGGCTGGCAGCTGGGTGGATTAGGCCGGGAGTTGAGAACACCTGAGTTCACAGTTAGCCTCAGACACTTACTAGCTGCATGACCCTGGGCAAGTCACTCAATCTTGGCCTGCCTCAGTTTCCCCAACTTTAAAATGGAGTTAATAATAGCACCTACTCTACAGAGTTGTTCTGAGGATCAAATGAGATGATAATTGTAAAGACACAGCACATACTTATTTTGTAGCAACTCTCGAATGCACTAATCAGCCAGCATAGTAAATTATCTGTTTGTGTCTTGATCTTCTATAAGACTGTGAGCTCCCAGAAGGCAAGAGCCTATATATGTACATACATACCTACATACATAGAGGCAGATGGAGACAGTGACAGAGACAGAAATAGAGACAGAGAAAGAGATATTCTATCTTAGCCTAGTATTTGTTAAATGAATGAATGGTATCTGTGGAAAATTAAGCATCAGAAATGACCTGAGGAGCATTCCAGGAGAAAGGAAGATGGTTCCAGGCTTAGAAGAACGACCTACAGCCAACTGAGACCCCAGAAAGGGTACCCTAGGGGTGGGAACCCTAGGGAGGGTTGTATCCAGCTATAGAAGGCTCTCTCTCATTACCTACCTCATCCCGCCTTGGTCCCCGGGGACAGGAAAGAGCTCTGGAGTGTGTTTTGCCTAAAGCAAGCTAGTTCTTATGTGTTCCAGGTTGTGGGAAAAGTTTTTGAGGTCAAATGGATCAGACAGGTAAGTGGATAGTAGATGCTTGAGAGTCTCACAGCTAAGGAAGGAGATTAGGATAGTGCCAGGAGGGGTGTCTAAAAGCTGAAGAGGCTGGCCCACAGCATGACTTTCATCCTGAAGGGCGATTTCCTTTGGCATCTAGGGGGGAAAATTGTATTCTCCAACTCCTTCCTCCCTCCCTAATTTTCAAAACCCAGCCTTTTCTTTGCCCTGCCTCCCTTCCCCCTGCTTTTCCAGGTGTCAGACCTAAGTGAAACCCAAAGTATGACCATGGGACCACGGAGATCATCTGGACCAACTCCCTCATTTGACAGCGGACAGAGGAAGGGACACGCCCAGAGTCACAAGGGGAGTGAAATAACAGATTCAACCCCAAGTATTCTGATTCCAATTCAGGGCTTTCCACTGCCCTACACTGTCTTTTATGCTTTGGGGCAGAAAACACCACCAGTCTCCCAAATGTCCTCCCTATTCCCCTCTCCAATCCTGGAATCCTGAGCTAAGACCTATTTAACTCGGCCTTTGTTTCTGATAGGAATGAGTCAAACTACTGTAGTCCCACCCACCAAATGTCCTGGTAACTTTCTGGACCAAAGTGCCCCAGGACCAAGGCCAGCAACTCCCAAATGTCTTTCCCCCTTATTAGAATGTAAGCTCCTTGAGGGCAGGGATAGCTTTGCTTGTTTGTGTTTGCATCCCCTGTGCTTAGAATATAATTCGATATCTATTAAATGCTTTCATTTCAATTTACTCATTCATTGGAGGAGATAGAGGAGATACACAGGGGATCAGCACTGGATGCCATCTTCCCAAGCTAGCTTTCGGGGAACAGAATTGGTTCCCAGCTTAGTAATGTTCTGAATGACAAACCCTTAGCAGAGAGGCCAAAGATCGCACACAGTTCCCCCAAAATTGAGGCTCTCTGGGGAAAGGAGGACGTGGCCCCGCTGCTACCCACTGCCACGCCACTGGCAGGGGCAGAAGCACCAACCCTATGGAGAACCTTATTATTCCACTCCCCAAACCTGACAGCCAGGGCTCCTTTAGGCAGCTACCTCCTTCATTTCCCACCCTGCTGCTTTCCTTAGACTTCATATATCTCCAGAAATCTCATCATTTTGCAAGATGAAATTAGCTCTGAATCTCACACCTTCTCAGATAATTTTCCATCAGACCCCCGGTTTTCCCCCTCTTTTTATGTGTTGCACCCTGCCCCCAAGATGGTGAGCTCCTAGAAAGCAGGGACTATCTTTTTGGGGGGAGAGAGGGTGACAATCAGGGTTAAGTGACTTGCCTAAGGTCACAAAGTTAGCTAGTAAAATACCTGAGGTCATATTTGAACTCAGATCCTCCTGCCTTCAGGACCAGTGCTCTATCTAGTGCCCCCTAACTGCCCTCAGGACCTGTCATTTGCCTTTCTTTGTATCCTCAGTGCTGAGCACTGTGCCTGGCACATAGTAGGAGTAGTTTACTCTGACCCTAAGCCCCTCAGTTCTGCCCTCCCTGGTACCCTGAGTCCCCAGCATTCTTTTCTCCTCTGCATGCCCCACCTTACCAATTTTGCTCTAAAAATTGTAATCAAAGCCACACTACCACTGAGCTGGAAGGGGCCTTACAGAATGAATTCAACCCCCTCATTTTACAGAGGAAATTGAGGCCTCTCAGAGGGCTCAGTGGTTAGCCCAGGGTCTTGCAGTCAGCAGAATTGCTTTTGTTATTTATTTTCCTAGACATTTCCCACAGTCCTTGGCATATAGTAAGCATTTAAATGCTTTATCATGCTTTCATTCAAGTTTTTAGCACTGTGCTGGGCACCTAGTAAGCCCTTACATTTAATTTTCTCCTTTCTTGCACCAATTAACTCAACTGCTCAGAAATGTGTAAGGGCGGGTCTTCAGCCCTGACTGAATAAGTGATGGATGAGTGAACTAGGGGCAAGTCTGGGCTGGGGATTGCCCGCTGCTACAAGAAAAGAATGGGCATTCAGCCTGGCCTTGGCAACAGACTAGTTGTGAGGGGCTAGCAAAAGATGGAAAAGCAGCGAAGCTCATCTGTTTTCACCGGGGAAACAACTCTGCTAGTGAAGAAAAATGGATTTCCCTCTCGGCTAGAGATCTTTCAGCTGGGAAGCACAAGAGATTCACCATTAACAACAGTCCAAGAGGAGGATGCTTTTTCCACTTTATGCTACTTACTCTTAGATTTTAGAGTTGAAAAGTATTTCAAAGATGAATTGAATCTAATCTAATCTCTAAGAACTAGAGACCCCAGATTAGAACCCAGGTCCTCCGCCTATAGAGCTGTCTCCCTTTGACTAGACCTGTGGGGCTGGTGTGTTTCAGGGCAGCTCTCATTTTCTGGAAGACACTCAGAAGAAGCTGAGGTCTGCCTGCTGGGCAACTAACTAGGGAGAGAAATCTCCAGACTGGTGGCAGCTAGGTAGTCCAGTGGTTAGTGTCCTGGATTTGGCATGGGGAAGATCTGGGTCTGGGCCGTTGCTCAGATAGTAGCTGAGTGACCATGGGGATAATAGCACCCATCTCTCCAAGTCAGAGTGGGACTCAAGGGAGTTCTATAAAGCACTTTACACACCTTCAGTGCTACATAAATGTTACTATTACTTAGAATGTGAATATGTTTCCCAGGCTGAAGTGAATTTTAGGCTACATGGTGAAGTATGTCTATCCTAGCAATCTGACATGTTGCAAGAGTGCTGGAAACAGAGTCAGAAGGCCTGGGTTCAAATCTCAGCTCTGCTCTCGTGGGCCTCAGTTGCCTCATCTGCAAAATGAGAGAGCTGGACTAAGTCAAAATATCCAAGGTCTCTCCCAGTCTAAACAGGCTATTATTCAGCGTACCAAGAGGCAGGAAATAGTAATGGCACTGCCACCTCTGCACATCTGCTGACAATTCGTTTTTCTTTTAAAGCTAGAAACCAAAACCCTGGTGGAGATAGAAGCCACACTGGCTGGCTTTTATGACCTTTTTTTTTCCTTAGCAGGGTTCCTAGCCCTTTCCCATCACCATCTGCAGGGGGTGGGAAAGGGGAAGGAAGGCCAGGCCCATTTGGAGGGAGGGTCCCAGGCCAGGAGCAGGGAATCTCCCTGGGACAGCTCTGTTGCCACTTGGTGGCAGAGAGCTAAGTGACTGACCAGGGGGCCATAGGTAGTTGGGACTCTGCCCAGCCCAGAGCCTCCCAATTCTCTCACACCAGTCAGCCTCTCCTGCAACCCCCATCAACTGACAACTTCTCCAGCTTCTGTGGTAAAGAAGGTGGCTTCAAGCGGGTGCCTTCCAGAGACAAGAAACCATGGGTCAAATTTTCCTTTTAATAAAAAAAAAAAAAATATCCCATCCCCCAAGCGTGCCCTCCTCCCTCTGGCAAATGTGCGCTTTTCTTTCTCTCAGTCTGGAAACAGCAGGTTCCCTACACCTCCCTCACCCCAGCAACAACCAGCTTCCTCCTGCCCTCTGCCCACCCCCCCACCCCCAGCCAAGAGGAAGCCAAAGGGAAAAAGAGACATAGCTCTCCCAAGTCCCGAACAACTTATAGAAAAAAGAGAAACCAAACAAAACCCCCAGAGACGTTATTATTGACATTCCCGGTACATTTCCTACAATATGTCACAGACAATGCTTCTTTCCTGGGGAGTCCAGCTCACACAGGAGGAGACATCTGCTCAGTGCCTACCGAGGGCTGCGGCTACAGCATCAGTTCCAGCCCAGACCCAAGGCTGCTACCAGCTCATTATCTTGCAGCTGCAGCAGCAGCAGCATCCGAAGTAAACGAAATGAGGAGGGGACCGATGGGGGGAGGGGCTCAAATGAAGGGGAAGGAGAGGGAGAGCAGGCTGTAGCTCTTCTCCAAACAGGTGACCAAAGCCTGGAAAGGTTTGGTTTTAAGAAGACAGAGGCCACCTGGGGTTTAGGGATGATGATAAGGATCAGAGGAAGCACCAATAATTGGGCGGCTGCTTTAGATTCCAAAGCCAAAAAAAGGAAAAAATGCTTCTAAGTCAAAGCAGCAGCTGATCTGGAGAATTCTCTTGCTCCTGGAGTTACACAATGAAAAAAAATGATGGCTTCAGAGCACGGGCTCACAAGGGAAAGGATAAAATAACCAACAAACAAACGAGCACCAGAGGGAAAAGAGATCTGTAGAGTGGGCAGGACAAGTGGGCTGATGCCACTGTAAAAAGCAAAATCCCTGGACAGAATGGGGAGGGGGGAGAGGCAGGAGGATCATCTGTGCACCTCAGCATTCAGCCCTGGGAGTCCGCCCCCAAAGGCTGCCCCATCCTCAGAGTCCCGCTCGGGGTGTCTGCTGGGGGCTGTCAGCCCTCTGTCGTGCTACTTACCTGTGGCGAGGACCTACCTGGGGCCACTGTGCCAGGGCTCATTCCCCCACCTCGGCCCTTCCCACGGACACCTTTGGCTGCTGCCCTCTGGGGTTCCGGGGCTGGGGCACCCTTTGAGCCATCCTTCCTGCCCGGAGCCTAATCAAAGCCCTTCCCTTACTGAAAGAGATGCTGATACACTCCTCTTTCCCACCAGCAGTTTGGACATCCCTAGGCTTCCCTTGGCCCTCGGAGGACCCACTCTTCCCTCCCAAGAACAAAGGCAAGATCAAACACCCCATGCCCCGTGCTCTCCAGACTGCATCTTTACAAAACGTTCATACACAGGCCAGCCCGGGAAGAGCCTTCTGGACAGCAGTGCTGGTCATCTAAATGAAACAACTTTCTAGGTGGCAAGGCTAGGCAAGAGAGTAGTCTCTTCCCGTCCCCTCTAAGGGCAACTCATCTTGTCCACTGCTTACCTGGTGGGGGAGAGGGGAAGACGGGGGACCAGCATGTTCAGTCACATTACTGAGATTTTTCTTCTTTTTTTTTTTTTTAAATTGGAAAAACAAAACTAAACCAAAAAAAAAAAAAAAGATCCTATGTGGAAATGAGCAGGACAGTGGTAAAAATGAACAAACCATTAAAATCCCAAACAAAGGAGGAGTCTCCTGGCCCCAGGCTCCCAGCTAGTCCTCGAGGACCACAATCTCCACATTGTGCACTTGGTGCTGGTGTTCCTCCATCTCAGCCACAACCTTCTCCTCAGTCCTCAGCTCAGTCTCCAGGATGAGGGCTTTGCCCTCCGGCTCCTCAGCCTCGGGGTCTGGAGCGGGGTCAATCTCAATGATGGTCTGCCCGTCCTCCGAAGTGCTCTCCACGGCCTGGATGGCAGAGGTCAGGCCGGACTCCATGGCCACCAGCTCCACAGGGCTCACCACGGTGGCCATGTTGCCCAAGGCACCCCCATCCTGCATGGCAGCTGAGCTCAGCAGCGCCAGGCTGGAGGAGGGGTGGATGGTCACTGCGTCGGGGGAGCTGGTCTTGGCAGAAGAGACGACGGTGGCGTAGCGGAAGAGCTGGGAGCCAGAAGGCAGTGTGTGGACAGTCACAGGGCTGGAGCCCTGGCTGAGGGTAGCCATGGGGAGGTTGCCCACGGAGAATGACTGCCCCATTGGTGCTATGGCGATGGGCGAGATGACGGTGAACTGAGGCTGCTGGACGGGGGGCGAGGGGCTCAGGACGGTGGTGGAGGCGGGGCGCTGGAGGCGGGGCCTCTTCGGTGGCTTGGGATTGTTCATGGGCATCAGGACCACATTCTGCACGGTCTGAGACTTCAGCCGGTGGTCCTGGGCCTGTTTCTTCTGCTCTTCCAACTGGCGTTCGAGGTCTACGAGGAAAACGCAATTTTTGTTTAGACAGCAAGAAAGCATGTTCAGGGTGGCAGATCTTTTAATAATGATATTTTCAAAAGATGTTAACATTTTTCAACAACAACAATACAGAAGCAGTGTGGTGCGATGGAGAGTGTTAGATTGGAGTCAGGAAGTCCTGGGTTCAAATCTCATCTCTGACAATTAGAACCATGGACTTACCCACTTTACCGGAAGTGATCACTGACCCCAGACGTGCTTGCTGAGGAAGGTCCTGCATTGTGAGGACCCCAATGAGGAATAAACACATGCCTTCTCCTAGTAACCACTTCCATTTCTAGACTTCCATTCTTTCTTCCCACCCCTGGGAAACAGGCTGTCTTGTCGTGACAAGTGTCCTGAACTGCCCCACCTGCCCTGAACACAGCAACCCCCAAGGGCATTTCTGGGCCTCTGAACAGAATTCCAAAGAGGGCAGTGAACCTTATTTGGAAAGACACAAGTGTAAGTACCGAGCTTCCTGTGTAACCTATAGCCCTAGAAAGAGCTCAGGTTGTCCCTAGGTATGGAAAAATCACAGGGCTCCCTGCTGGAATGCCCCATGCCCGCACACATGAATATCTGTACAAATTAAGGATGTAATGCATGTAAACACACTACTATCATCATCATTACCATCCAAAAAATTATCCTAAGAGAGGAAGGGACTGGGTCCCTTACCTGTCCAACTCTTTCTTTCTTCTTCTTTTTTTTTTTTTTTTTGGAGAGGCAATTAGGGTTAAGAGACTTGCCCAGAGTCACACAGCTAGTGAGTGTCATGTGTCTGAGGCCACATTTGAACTCAGGTCCTCCTGACTCCAGGGCCAGTGCTCTACACAGAGAAGGAAGGACCTGCCCAAGGTCATGGGGCCTGTCAGTATCAAGACTAGGCCTGAAGCCAATTTCTCTGACTCCAAATCCCTCAGTCGGTCCACCACATTGGGAGCCCTAAGCCTCCTTTCTCTTGTTTTAAACGAAGAGTTCCTCTTTCCTTCTGGTTTCATGGTAACAAACACCTGTAAGACAGGCTCCTACCCCACCTTTCCAGCACTCCCTCATAGGGATTTCCCCCCATCCACCACCAGCAGGTTCAAGGTTCCTGCCAAAGTGGACAACTCTCTGGTCCTGAACGTGAGCTCTGCTCTCACACCTCTGCGTCTTAGAATGCCCCCCTCCCCATCTTCATCTACTGAATAGGAGCTGACTCCTTTTGTAAAATCCAGTTCCCACGTCCCCTCCTCCCAGAAGCCCTCCCTGCTCTCCCCTGGGCTAGTAGTGACTCTGCTCCCAGACCCTCGCAGAGGACTTGTTTTGCTTTTCACTAATGTACATTAGGTCTGGTGTATGTGTTCGTATCTCAGCTTCCAAAGAGCCTGTGAGCAGCTCCCTAATGGCAGGAGTGGCACTCTTTCTAAACGCTGCATCTCTCCCCATGCCAAGAACGGGGTGTGCATGCAGGAGGTGCCCTGATGATTTTTATCCAGTCGCCTTATTTGCTTTGTTTCTTAGAAAGCACAGTGGATAGAGCGCTGGACTCAGATGGCAGGAAGAACTACATTCGAATCCTGCCTCAGAGACTTCCTAGCTGTGTGACCTTGGGCAAGTCTTCTCACAGCCTCAGTTTTCTCATCTGTAAAATGATGATAATAATAGCAGATGGTTGTGACAATCAAATGAAATTACATAGTGTTTTGCAAACCTTCAAGTACTATATAAATGCTAGCCAGTCTTCTTCTTAATCTTTTATTTAAGTAAATGGAAGAAATAAGATTCAAATCTGTCCATTTAGGGGCAGCTAGGTGGTGCAGTGGATAGACATTTGGCCTTGGAGTCAGGAGGACACTTAACACTTAACAGCCGTGTGACCCTGGGCAAGTCACTTAACCCTGATTGCCTCACCAAAAAGCAAAAAAAAGACAAATCTGTCAATTTAGTGACTGGTTTATACCTAGGTGGGATGGCCAGTGTGTGACTAGTAAGCTAATGATGATTTAAGAAAAGGAAGGGGTGATCACAAAGAGCCAGCATGGTGTCCATCAGAACAAGCTAGGCCAGACCCACCTCATTGCCTTGGCTGAGAGGGTTACTAAACCATTAACTCAAGAGAATGTCAAAGACAGTGTTTACCAAAGTCTTAGCAAAGCATTTGATAAAGTGTCCCATGCAATTCTTGTAGAAAAGATGGTGGGATGTGAGTTAGACAACAGGAACATTGGCCACGTGGCAACAACTTAGGGAGAGCCTTATTAAATACTCAATGTTCGATGTCAGTCTGGAAGGTAGCGCTCAGTGGGGTGCCCCAGGTTTGGTCCTATGCTGTGTAATAGTGATCACTTACTCAGAGATGGAACACTAAATTACAGAAGATATACAGAGCTGAAAAGGAAGGACAGCTAGTTAGCCAACCTACTGGATAAACGGATCAATCAGTGGGGTTGAAAAGAATCAAGACTGAAACAGATCTTGATGGGTAAGAACCTTAGGCTGGACTGAAAAAAATGGTGTTGCTGTTGTTGGGTTTTTTTGGGGGGGCGGCAATTGGGGTTAAGTGACTTGCCCAGGGTCACACAGCTACTTAAGTGTCAAGTGTATGGTCTGAGACCGGTGAACTCAGGTCCTCCTGACTCCAGGGTCGGTGCTCTATCCATTACACCATCTAGCTGCCCCTGGACTAAATAAAATGAAATATAACAGAGCTATATATAAAGTCTTACACTTTGGTTCAAAAAATCAACTTCACAAGTAAAAGATCCAGGAGGAGCTAAATAACAGCTTGTCTGAAAAATATCTAGGGGTCTTAGTGGATCAGAAACTCAATGAGTCAGCAAACTATGTGACATGGCAGGCAACAAAGCTAATTCCCTTTCAGGCTGCCTCCTGAGAGGTGTAGACAGCTCTCTGATCACACCACATGTCCAGGACTGTGTTCAGCCCCTGAATGACACACTAAGTTGGAGAGTATTCGGGAGGACAACCAGGATGGGGAAGGATCTCAAGTTCCTGTTAAACGAGGATCGACAGGAAAAAGGAAGACTCGGGGGTACAGAATAGCAGTGTTAAAGTATCCAGAAGAGGGAGCAGATTGATTTGTTCTGTTTGGCTTCAGAAGGCAGAAAGAGAAGCAGTAGGAGGAAGTTTCAAAGTGGCAGACAGACTCAATAGAAGGAAAAACTGTCCTGCACTTGGAGCTACTCAAAAGCGAAAGGGAGAGAGAAAGTGGGTTATCCCTCGGCCACAGGCTTAATGAGAAACCCCCGGTGTCTGCCTCTCGGGAGCTTCAGCCTCACGTCTTCTGGACATTTCAAGGATCTCAAGCACAGAACGTCTACAACAGAGTTCCTTCTCTTCCCCCTTCCCTGACAGCAGGCTTTTGTCCCTCCTCTTTCTGCTGAAGGCCCCACCAGCCTTCCAGGCCCACGAGGTCATCACCCTGATAGCCCCCCAGCTACTCACTCTTCCTCACCTCTCAGAACCAGGTGGGGCCAAATCTCTACAAGGTCGCCCTCAGGAAGGTCTCATCACCTCCTGCCTAGACCATGGCTTCTGGGCCTCAAGTCTCCCCACTCCAATCGTCTCTCCACACAGATGCCGAATGGGCTTTTCTGAAGTAAGCAGAGACCTCACTGTGTCCCTCGCCATTTCAACGGTGTTCTTGCCTCTTACAGGACAGACTGATTCCTCTGCTCAGCTTTGAAAGCCCTTTATGATCAGGCCCCGCCAATCCTTCAGGCCCCACCTGGCACCATTTCTTCGTCTGCCCTGTCCTCTGTGATCCAGTTTTAAACCCTGCTCCTTCCACCCTGGCTTCAGGCCTTTGCACTGACAATCTCCAAGCACCACACTGCACCCTTTCCCAACCTCCCTGTCACAGTCCTTCTCTTTTGTCCTGGCTCAGCTAAAGCACACAAGGATTTAAATGAGTCAGTCAATAAGCATATGTGCCAGGCATTGTGCTAGGTGGCAAAAAAAGAAAGGCAAAAACAAGGTGAATTCTCAAGAAGCTCATATATTCTCTTTTTAAAACTTTTTTTTTTTTTTTGTGAGGCAATTGGTTTAAGTGACTTGCCCCAGAGTCACACAGTTAGTGAGTGTTGTGTGTCTGAAGCCAGATTTGAACTCAGGTCTTCCTGACTTCAGGGCCGGTGCTCTACCCACTGCGCCACCTAACTGCCCCTCACATATTCTCATTGTTCCTTATTACCACAGATAAGGCAGCATGGGCTACTGAAAAGAAAGGGTTCAGGATTGGTGGGGAATAGATCAAGAGGACCCTGGGTCTTCTGCTAAAGACATGCTAAGTTTTCTACTGCTGCCGGGGGGGGGGGGTCACAATCCCCTGGAATGTGGTGGGAAGAGCCCCGAACTTGGAGTCAGAGGGTCCCCCACCACATCCTGGGCCATCACCAGTTGTCCTGATCTATCTGTGGCCACTGGACCCAGATGGTTCTGGAGGAGAAAGTGAGGCTGGTGACTTTGCACAGCCCTCCCTGACTCAAATCCAATTCGCTTGCAAGTCACGGCATCATCTCCCTCCTCTTTGAGAACAAAGGACAAACAAGTCAGAAGGTACGAGTCTGACTCCCGGCTCAGCCCTTTCAGCCGCTCCATGCCTCTGGTTTCCTCACGTAATGCTACTTGTACTACCTGTACTGCACTGGTTGCTGTGAAGGAAACGCTCATTCAACTTGAAACGGCTATGCCAACGTAATTCAGTCTAACTGTGGAGGCCATGCTGCTTCTAGATGTCCATTTCTGTCGGCTGACCCACCCCCGGGCTCTTCCTGGAGCTGCAGACCAAGGAGAGTCACTGAGGCACAAGCTCAGAGGCCATCTAGACTAGCTCACCCTCTCTCTCCCGAAGGAGGTTCCTCTGTGATCTAGAACCCCCCTTCTCTCCAGACAGGTCTGGCCAGCATTTGCCTGAACACCTTCAATAAGAAAAAGAACCCATCTGTTCTTGGAGCAGTCCCTTCCCCTTTGCAAGAACATTACTAATGATTTTTCAATCAACCTTCATTATCGCTTTTGGGTATGTCTCATTGTTACCGTTTTTTCCTGATACTGTGTCATATGACTTTGGGAAAAAAGGTCTCCCCTTCCCTCCAGGGCCCATCAGCCTGACAAGATCTTGGGCCGGTCCCCTGGAGGCTTGGGATCTCTAATCCATCACAGGAAGGAAAGATCCTCTGTCACCTGTCAGAGTGTAGAGAAAGTGTTCTTCTCCTTGCTCTGTCTGGCTCCTCCTGTTGTCCAAAACTCTCTTGACCGTGTCCATCAGGCCAAAGGTGTGGGCTACATTGTTGAGGACAGCAGCATCTGGAAGAAGAGCCCCATGTGGGAGGAGGGCAGGGGGCTGGTGCTCCCCTCTCTACAATCCATGTGACAACCCTGAAGTGAAGGGGCTTGCTCCGCCCCCTCCACGCCAGCCAGGCCAGTCTCTGGTGAACGCCCACCCTTTCCTCCATGTCCCATGCTTCTGATCGTCTGCCACCCTCCATTCAAAAAGTAAAACCATCATGGATCTAGCTGTGTGACCCTGTATGACCTCTGTGGCCTCAGTTTCCTCATTTGTGAATGAAGATAATAGCACCTGCCTCAGAGGACTCCTGAAAAGCTCCAGTGGGATAATGTATGTGGAGTGCTTTGCAAAGCTCCAAGTGTTGTGGAAATGTCAGCTATTCTTAGTCTCATTGTTAATTTTATAATGAATCTGTTAATTGCGTGCATCACGTTTTCAGCTCACCTGTAATCTGAAAGGGGGCCTGAAGGAGCCTTTGCTGAACTCCTCTGAGCAGCTCCTCTATCTCCTTCTGAATGTTGCAGACCACCTCCTCCATGAGCCCCACGTCAGCTATGCCCTTCCAGAACATCAGGGTGTCCTCTGGCACAAAGAGGAAGAGGTGAAGTGGGAGAAGGGACATACCACGGCTAGCGCTCTCTGCGGTGGCAGAGGCCTCGAAGCTGCCCCCGCAGAGCAGCTGCCGTAAGAACACCACTCTGGAGGGGGTCAGATGGGGGCCAATCACACTGGGTGGCCCCGCCCCCACCTGCCTGCCTGCCTGCACCCCCTGGATTCTCATTCTGGAATGGTGGGGGAGGGCTGGCTTTAGACATGTGCATGGGGTAATGACAGAGACAGACAGAGAGGAGGAGGGAGAAGGAGGAGAGAAAAGGAAGGGGAACAAAAGAGGAGAGGGAAGGAGTGAGAGAGACACACACAAAGGAGACAGAAGAGAAACAGAAAGACAAGAGATAGAAAGAGAGAGACAAAAGATTTCAGATTTCAAATCTACCAGCAATCATGACAGGTATCCCAAATATGCCAGGAGTACAGGTGGAGGTGGTGATGGGGTGGTGGTGAGTAAGAAATCATCAGACCCTTTACCCAAGACCTCCAGGCAGGCACCTGAAATCTCCTCGGGGTCCTTCTTCAGCCCTTCCTCAGTGGCCATGGTAACGGCTGCAGTGAGAGCCGAGTTCCACTCCAGCCCTGCCTCTTCCATGTTCTCCTCCGAAATGGCAATCTGCGTGACTCCCCCTGCCAAAGGGTCATCAGAGGGAGAGGTCAGGGGGGCCTGTGGCGAAGGGAGCACCAATTTCTCGCTCATGCTCACAGACACTGCCAGGGTCATGAGGACAGGCCCTTCCCCTCCGGCCAGAGCCCAGGAAAGCTGCAACGGGAGCTGGGTTTTCTAGAGAAGAGTCCAGCTGATAAAGCCTGTATTCACTCCCTAATCTGAGGCCAAGAAAACCAATGGTCGAGCCTACAATAACATCCAGTAGAGGGGACAGATAAATCTATGGCCACTAAGTGAGTGGACTTGACTTCACTGGCCTGAAAGCACCAGAGGGCTGCCAGGGTCACTGAGAGGGTAAGGGATTGGGCTGTGTCACCCAGGCCATCCACACCACAGCCAAAGTGATGGGGGGGAAGCTACCCCGACAGGTCAAACAAACCCGAGGGGAGCTCAATGAAGGTGACGTTCCCAGTCCAGCGTCTGTTGCGATTTGAACATGATGGGGCTTATTTACCATGCAAGGAGCACCACAACCAAGGAGAAGAAAAAGGGATGAAGGAGAAATTACAGAGGCAGAGGCAATGATGGGAAGCCCGAGAACCTGGCTTTATTCCTGGTCTGACCATTCGCCGCACTAGAGAGGCCCTATGCAAGCTGGGACAGCTCATTCAGTCCTGTACCAGATCGTAACAAAGCAGACTGAGAAAACAAAGCCAAATCTGAAAGTGGATGAGACCAAATGCAAATGAGCTGGAGTATTTTTTCCTCATTTTTCTAGCAAAAAATCCAGTTGCCTGAGCAGCAAAGGTAGTAACTTGTGGTTCTTCCCAAAAAGAGGCCCAACGGCTGATCAAAGATCAAAGAGTATTTGCTGTGCAAAAGATCAGGAGTCATGGCAGTTCTGGTCCATCCATGGTGTACAGGAGGTGTGCTGTGGGTCAATCACGGTGCCAGTTGGTCCACGGTGCCCCCTGACCCGGCTCGCTGGCCTGGCAGAGCCTCTTTTGGGAAGGAAAGCACAGCTCCACCCCCAAGGGTGGCCTGAAGCCTTGCTGGACTGAGCCCTTCAACCCTTCAAGCACGGTCGTTCCTAGGGCCACCCTCAGCCAAATGAGGTATGAGTGCAGTGGTCCAGCAGGGAGCAATCACCAACGTAATCTGATCCCCCACCAGGCTGTCATCAGCTAAAAGATTCAAAGTACTCTAAGATCACCTGAAACCTGCAGGGACCCAAAGCTGAGAAATATGCCCGAAGATGACGGCTTCTGAGAAATCTGCAGGATGCTTACAGAGGCATAAGGGAGATGGGAATTCATAGCCTACCTCTAAAGATCACAGACAAGTCACTCGATCTCCCTGAGCTTCAGCTCCCCCATCCATCTGTAAAATGGGGACAATAATACCTAAAGCCCCTTACCTCACAGGGCATCCAAGGAGACCAGGTCTGTAAAGCATTTCTTAAACCCTAGTGCTAGGTAAGCAGTGCTGGATAAATGTCAACTCGATGGTTATGCTGGATGTTGTCTGAAAGAAGCAAAGAAGGCCGTACCCACCAGCACAAAAAGGGAAGTGGTAGAAGACCTAGAGCGGGGCCTGTTTCCCAAGAGATCTCCCTGGTGGGTTTGCTGCAGCCCCAGCTGAGGGCACTTGTAGGTGGGGGCTCGTTAAAGGGACAGCGTGTGAATGAGTGAGCGAGCGAGGGAGGAGCAAGAGGACAGGGCTGCTGACAAACAAAGGATGTGTTCAGGTGGTTTCCTACCCCCTACCATCAGCCGAAGTGGGCGTCTGCACCACGCTTGTCTGCTGCCCCGGCACGGGAGCTCGGGCACTGCTGATCAGGAGGTCAAACTTGGTGCTTCTGCAGGTATTGGAGCAAACCTTGTCATGCTGGTAGAAGTCAATCTGCCCAGAGTCCATCATTTTCCTGTGCAGAGGGAAAAGACAGAAAAACTCAGACTAGTCTGGAATTTATAATCCAGGGCTCACTCTCCCGTTTAAACAAACCTGCCAAGTGCCATCCAAAATTTATTAGGTTACAGAAAATTCTAAATGAGCTTATTATTAAAAGATTTTCATAGGACACACACACACACACAGAGTCTCTCTCTCTCTCTTTCTCTCACCCTTGTAGCAATCAGACTTGCCCTGGCCCCCCTCCCCAGTCCTGGGAAAACCAAACCCCAGAAGGAACAGAAACAGAAGATAAGGCAAACAGGTCAAATCACAGATTAAAAACCACGGGGAAGTTAAAACAGTGAGAAGTGAGGCCGCCGCCACCACTGCCACTGCCGTGATGTGGTTTCCATGCACCCAAGGGGGCTAGTGAACCCCTCTGAAATACAAGCCCCAGCAGCTGGCACTGTCTTTTTCATCATTGATAACAACTGGTATTGTACTGACTCAGAAAGGGGAAAACATTGACCCCGCTGACTGTCCAAGAGAGACCACTTGCCTGTAAGTGGATGCCCACGACACTGCCATCTCCAGGCCCAGGGAATGGATGGGGCTTGGAGATACTTTCATCACAGTGGGCACTCCTGTCACAATGGCATCTGCTGTCCTACCAGGATTTGGCCTACACTCACATTCTCGAAGGCTCAGGGCCTGGTTTTGTCAGACTTGAAGAATGGTTTCTTTACCCTGATTTCTTTTAGATCTGGGGCATGTGGGCACATGTTTCTCCTCACTGGTAAGACAAACAAGCCAAGGTATCCAAGGCTTCCACATGGCAAAGTGGAGCAAGTGAGGGACGTGGAGTCAGGAAAACTTGAGTTTGAATCCTGCCCTCAGACATTCAAAGTAGCTCATAAACCTGAGCACATCCCTTAACTTTTCCGTGCCTCAGTTTTCTCATCTCTAAAATGAAGGAGTTGGATTTGATGGCCTCTAAGGTCCTTTCTCACCCTCAATCTGTGATGCCATTATCAGGTTTAGGAAAGACTTCCTAATATTTACAGGTATACAAAAGAAGAAAGGACTGCCTCACAAAGAAGGGGCTTCCCCCTCACTGGAGGGCTTCATGGGGGGGCGGTAAGGGCACTTCCTGGGCTATTGTATATCCTGGTCCCTTTCAGTTCTGAGATTCCATGGTTCTGAAGAGCAACGGAGCTAGGGAGGGAAGCACAGCCCTTCCCAATTCCTGTCAATGAGATGTGATTCTCCCACATCATCTGGGTGAGTGCTGAAAGCACACACATTAACCTTAGTATAATTTAATCTAAGAGGCAAGAAAATCTAAGGCAAGAAAACACAGCCCAGGGAGATTTCACTGGACCTGGAGTGAGAGGGCCAACTATGGCTCTGATATTTATGATGCTTAGAAATGAGAGCTAGTTCCCCAAATTAGGAGGGGAGGACCAGGAGTTTTTGACCCTGTACCACTCCCATTTCTCTCCTACTCCTGCCCCAGCTTAGTAAGACTAAGGCCTAATATGATGCAGCCAGTCACTGAACTCCCCTGTCCTCTGGCAACTCTGCCCTGTGACGTGGCTTTATGGAAATGTTCTCAGGCTGACAGAAGGCACTAGCCTGGATCGGCTTCCCTCCCAGAAGTGTCCGGGGCCTTCAGGTGCCGTCCAGATAAATGAATCATCTATGCCAGCCAAGCCACCAAAACAAAGATATACGACACTGTAGATCTCTGTGGATGTATCCGCCAAGGCTGGTCCACTGGTGGGTGGCTGCCAGGAGCCCTTACCTCAGCATGATCCCTCCCAGACGAATGGCTCTCTTCCAGTCCTTCAGGGTGGACTTGCCAGCCAGGTGAACGAAATGCTTTGGGCTGATCAATTGATCATTGAACTGAAGCCAGAAAGCAAAGTCAAACAACAGGTGTCAACTCAGCCAGGTAGAAGGCAAGGAAAAGACACCAAGAGACAAGAGACAGGAACGTCTCTGTACATCTGGCCCCCACAGAAATGCAGAGATGACCTCCTGGCCCATCATCAGCCTTGCATCACCCCAGCTTCTGCTCTCACAGCTGCTGACCCCATCCTCACTGCTCCAAAGAAAAATAACCTCCCCTGACCACTATGCCCCTTGTTCAGCGCCCAGGTTACTACAGGGAATGAGGGAAGGAGGCAAGTAGAGCAGGTTATCTATTGACCTGAGCAATCCCCATATGTTCCAAGGCAGGCTGCCTGACCCAGCACTCAGAACGCAGACCAAATCCTCAAGTGAAGTAATCCTTCCAGGCCCAATGCCCTGCACTGGGGACTGTCCTGGCAGAAAATACCACCCAACAGCCACCTCAACTACTCAGTGATGGCAGATTACTATCTGTGTGAGCAATTGTGACTTATAAGACTGGCACTTGGGGGCAGCTAGGTGGCGCAGTAGATAGAGCACCAGCCCTGGAGTCAGGAGGACCTGAGTTCAAATCCAGCCTCAGACACTTGACACTTACTAGCTGGGTGATCCTAGGCAAGTCACTTAACCCATTGCCTAGCCAAAAAAAAAAAAAACAAAAAAAAACAAAAACCAAAAACCAAAAACAACAACAACAACAAAATAAGACTGGCACGTGAAGAGCAGTCTTGCTCACACTGTGTGCTCACGGGCTTCTGAAGACGGTTCTCTGACTTGTTGCTGTGGCCTCAAATACAAAAAAACACCTAATAATCAGAGTAAGAACAGCAGAGAGGGTACAGAGGCACCAGCAAGCCACCCTCAGCATGCAAGGAGCCCTTTGGAGGAAGGCACACAAAGGGGAGGGAAAGGTTACCTTGACACACTTTACATTAATTCCAGGACACACAAACTTCTTCCAGAGGAGGATGGCTTTGCTTTCCCCACAGGTGATAGGATATGCAATTTCCATCTCTTCGTTTGCTTCTATGGAGCTAGCATCTGCAAACAGAAACACCTCAGCGATTGTGGGCCACTCTTCCTCTAAAGAGATTCAGATAGCTGGAATCTAAACCCACATTTGGCCAGGCCTTTTATGAGACCATGGAAATCCTAGCTGCCGGTGTAGTTTATTAATCAAAAGCAGCAAACTGCTCAGCTTACAATCCAAACCAAAAACATCCTCTGCAAAAACATCTGGGGCAGGGGCCATCCTTGATAGTCAGTAGTCCTATATGGGATTCCATCTCCCCCAGTTGGGTGGGTATACTTGGCCAAGAGTAGGAAGGAGGTGCAAGCAATAATTTATTCCACATGTTTGTGCCAAAGGGCACCATGAGACCTCTAGCAACAGTACTTAACCAACACCACATTCAGCTCACAAGGGATAAGAGACTAATGGGAATCCAGCACACAGTACGGAAGTCAGTAGGCACCACCCGAGCAGACAGACTTACCAATCCCTTCTTCAATTTTGTGTATTGTGTGGGTTTCTACGGCTACAACCGCTGCATTGTTCTCCGACCCCGCTTCATAAATCCTGTTGTAAAAGTGTCCATCGATAAACAAACTATATAAATCATGAAAAAATTAAGATTCATAGCATCGAGTAAAGAAATGTCCATACTCTTCCTTAATCTGTTCCTTTGGGCTCAGTGGAGAGAAGGAGCCTACCCAGCTACCAAAACCTCAGTGATCCACATTACCCCAGACTGTACTTGGACTCAAGAAAGCAAGTGCCCAGGGCTGCCCCATTAAGCAGCACCAGAGAAATTAAAAAGCTGCGGCTCTCCTATCAAAAGAAGGTGAGCACACGGCTTTCTGTAAGGGCGGTGCCTAACCTCCACTTTCCCCTAATACATTTAAAAGCATGTGATAGGTGCCATTCTTTTCCAGAATGAAGGGCTTAAAAAGCCAATGAGTAACATTACCTCCAAGGTTCAAGCTAGGAAGAAAAAAAATTAGGAGTCAAAAGAGAATACAGTGAACAACAGCTGACAATGACATATCACTTCACTTTCGGTAGTGTCTCATTTGAGCCTCACAAGACCCCAGTATTCTCTTCACTTTGGATGAGGGGCTAAATGACCTGCTCCTGGGTCACACCAGCGGCAGAAGCAGGATTGAGTCCAGGTCTTCTCCCAGAACACTGCCACAGCACGTAGGATGCCTGAGGGGTCCTCCTAGCCAAATCAGTGATCTGACCAGCGATCAAAGAATCACAGAAGACTTAGCCGAAAAAGCAACTCACTCTTACACCGCTAATTGTTAGGGTGAATCAAATCACCATAAAACCTGCCACCTTACTGAAAATTGTGCCTTCAAACAACACAAAAGGATGGTAACAATAAATGGCACAGTGGTCTTGGGATTAGGAAGACCTGGGTTGAGTCATGACTCTGATACATATTGGGTGCTTCACCATCAGTAAATCATTTAACCTCAAAGAGTCCTCTTTAAGTCTACAGGCTGCAGATGAGTCGCTGATCTACATAGGTGGACGGAGTTTACACATTATGGATTATTTCTATGATGGCGATTCTCAGATCTACTTATCCAGGCCTACTCTCTTCCGATCTCCAGGCTCATATCTCCAACTACTATTTGGCATCTCAAACTGGATATCCTGAACGTATCTTAAATTCAACATGTCCAAAACTGCTCTTATCCCTAAATCAATGATATCACTGCACTGGGCCAAATCATTCAACAGTTAACAAGCATGTATTAAACATCTACTATGTGCCAAGAATTGTGCGCTAAGGGGCAGCTAAGTGGTACAGTGGATGGAGCACCGGCCCTGGAGTCAGAAGGACCTGAGTTCAAATCCGGCCTCAGACACGTAACACTTAACTAGCTGTGTGACTCTGGGTAAGTCACTTAACTCCAACTGCCTCAAAAAAAAAAAATTGTGTGCTAAGTGCTACTGGAATAAAAAAAGGCAAAAAAATAGTCCTTGCTCTAAGGAGCTCATAGTCTAATGAGAGAGACAACACGTAAGCAGCTAAGTACAAGCAACAGGATAAACTGGAGACAGTCAACAGAAGGAAGGTACTAGGAAGAAGGATCAGGAGAGGCTTTTTGTAGAAGGCGGTGTTTCAGCTGGGACTGGAAGGAAGCCAGTAAAATTGCCTGGAGTATCTTGGTGGAGAAACAGCAAGGAGGCCGGTGTTACTGGATTCCACAGTACAGGGTCGGGGGCTGCAGGAAGAAGAGGGGAGGGTCATGAGTAATGTGTAAGAAGACTGGAAATGCAGGAAGGGGCCCGGGCCATGAAGGGCTTTGAACATAAAACAGAACTTCATATTTGATCCTAGGGATGACAGGGAGCTGCTGGAGTTTAATGAATAGGAATGATGACATGGTCAGACCTGCATTTGAGATCAGTTGGACAGCTGAGAGGAAAATGGACTGGAGTGAGGAAAAGACTTGTGGCTGGGGGACCAAGCAGCAGGCTGTTGCAACAGCACAGGGGTGAGGTGCCAAGGACCTGTACCAGTGTACTGGCAACGTCAGAGAAGAGAAGGGCGCGTGTAGGAGAGAGATTACTAAGGTAGAGACAACAGGACTTGGCAAATGATTAGATATGGGGGTGGTGAGAGGGAAGAGTCATAGATGATACCCGGATTGAAAGCCTGGGTGTCTGGAAGGATGGTGGTGCCCGTAAGATTATTAGAAAAATCAGAAAGAGGGAAAGCCTTGAGGGAAAAGATAATGAGATCAGTTTTGGACATATTGAATTTAAGATACGTACAGGACATCCAGTTTGAGATGCCAGATAAGGGATTGGAGACATGAGATCAGAGATCAGGAGAGAGGCTAGGGCTGGATAAGCAGATTTGAGAATTATCAGCATAGAGACAATAACTGAATCCACAAGATGTGATGAGATCATCAAGAGAAATAATACATACAGAGGAAAGAGGGTCCTGGACAGCAGAGTCTTTGGGACACCCACAATTAGTGGGCATGACCCGGATGAAGATTAAGCAGTGGAGACTGAGAAGGGGTCAGACAGGTAGGAGAACCAGGACAAATTTTAGTGTCACAAAAACCGAGCAAGAAAGATCATTAAGGAGAAGAGGGTGATCAACAACGTTAGAGTTACAGAGAGGTCAAGAAGGATGAGGGCTGAGAAAAGGCCACTAAATTTTGGTAACTAGGAGATTATTGGTAATTTTGGAGAGAGCAGTTTCAGTTGAAACAAGGAGGTCAGAAGCCATGCCGAAGATAATTAAGAAATGTGAGAAGAAAGCTATTGAAGATGAAGATACCAAGGGAAGGTTTTTTTTAAGGATGGGTGAAACATGAGCATGTTTGTAAGCAGTAAGGAAGCAACCAATTAGACCAAGAGAAGTTAAAGATTAGTGAGAGTGGGGATGACAGGCGGGACAATCTACTGGAGAAGAGGGGATGGAATGGGATTACTTGTGCATGCAGAGGAGCTTCTCTTGGCAAGAAGAACCACCCTCTTCATGTGAGACAGAAGTGAAGGAGGAGATAATTGCAGGAGACATTTGAGTGAAGTGAGATGAGGAGGACAGGATAAGGACTTTTGGGAGAATGGTCTTAATTTTTTTCAATGAAATATGAGGCAGAGTTCTCAGCTGAGAAAATGGAGGAAGTGGAAGCCATAGAAGTTTGAGAAGGAGTGAAAAAGTTTGGACAGGCTATTGTGGTGAGTGGATAGTGAATCAGTTAGGGAGGTGTATAAAAAGATTGCTTTGCCTTGGTAAGGTCCCACTGCAGACTATCTAACATAAATCTGTAGTGTGCCCGGTCAGCATGGTTTCATGCTTTCCTCCAACTATGTTAATCAGCACTTGATAGGAGTGAAGGCAGTGAACAGTGGAAGTAATCCAAGGCTGAGGTCTGGCAGGACAACACTGGTGATAGGGTAAGGGGGGCAAGGGGCTCAACAGAGGAGGACAAGGTAAGGTTCAACTGGTTCATCAAGGTGTCAAGATGGGGCAGGGAGAAAAAGCTAACCAGTACCTTCATTAACACCGATCAGAGTTCTTAAGTTTTTTAAAATTGTTTGACATTACAATTGTTTTGTCTTTCTACAAGCTGTTCTCCTGGTTCTGTTCACTTTACTTTGCATCAATTCATATAAGTCTTTCCATGCTTCTCAGGAACCATCCCCTTTATCATTTCTTATAGCACAACAGTATTCTCTCACATTTATATAACATAACTTGGTCTGCCGTTCCCCAATAAATGGATACCACCTCAGTCAGATGAGAGTGAGGTTCAAGTGTCAACCTTTCCCTTATCTCTTCTTCCTTGTTCACATAGATTTCTACTGGCACACCCTGATTATTTGAGATAATTTTCCCCAACTTTCTTTTCCCTTCCCTCAGTTCTCAAGAGTATTCTTCTTCCCCTCCCTTTCCATTCTTCTCTAAATACTTAACATATAATAGAGCCTCTCCTAGGTCTTCCATCTAATTAGACTCTATTACCCCTGATGAAAATAGGGTGCAGAAGAGACACATTATCATTTCCCTCTATTTGAATGGAAACAGTATATCTTTCTTTAGTCCTTTATCATTGTTCATTCATGTTTACCTTTTTATGTATCTCTTAGCTCCTATGTTTCCATTTCAAAGTTTCCATGTAGCTCTGGTCTTTTCATCAGGAATGCTTGGAAGTTCTCTATTACATTAAAGATACATTTTTCCCCCTTGAGAATATATTCTTTTGCTGAGTGACTTGTTCTTGGCTATAAGCCTGTCTATCCTTTGCCATCTAGAATATTATAGTTCAAGTTTTCTGCTTCTTTATAATGCTGGCTGCTATAACATGTGTGTTCCTTACTGTGGTTCCTTGGTACTTTCTCTGCTTCTAATACTTTTTTTTCTTTGAGATGGACACTCTAGATTTTGGCTCTGACATTCCTAGGGGCTTTCATTTTGGGGTTTCTTACAGGATGTTACTGATGGGATTCTTTCTTTTTCCACTCTGCCCACTTGATTCTAAGAGATAGGGGCAATTTTCTTTTAAGATTTTTTTAAATCTGATGCCTAGACTACTTTATTGGTCATGGCATTCAGGTAGTCCAGTAATCCTTTCATTTTTTCTGCTGGATCTATTCTCCAGATTAGTTGTTTTTGTTATGAAATACCCTACGCTTTCTTCTGTTTTTCAGGGAGTTTGTTGCTTCTGCAAAATTTTGTCCCTTTTGTCCCATGCTGCTAATTCTTTCCAATTCTTTCTTTCACAGCTCTTTTATCTTTTCCAATTTTTTTCTTATAGCCCTCTCATTTCTTTTATAAAAACATTTTAAACTCTCTTTAAAAACTTGCTTTGTCTCTTCCAGGCATTCTAGTTGAATTTGTGCTGCAGCTGTGTTTTCCTTTGAGACTGTTTGTAGATGTTTTGGAGACATTCTCTTTTTCTGGGTTTGTATCTTTGAGAACCCTGTCACCACAATAGCTCTTTTATGGTGGGATTCTTTTTCTTTTGTTTTGGTTTGCTTATTCTTTCAGTCTATTTCCTGACATTTATGTTAGGGCTGGGCTCTACGCACGTTTGGAG